TGCTCAGGGCACCCAAGTTCTAGCCCCACTTCTGACATTAACAGACAACTTCCTGAAACCCATGGGGCCTTAAGAAAGAATAAGGGCTTTGGCCTGAAGATACTACAGGCTCATAATTTTATGAAACATCTAGAAGAGACAAATGCATGGAAACAAGACTTAATTCGTCTTGACCGAGGACTAAAGGAGAGGAATAAAGAGTAGATTGTTAATGAGCAGAGTTTCCCCTGCTGTTAAGGTGACTCACTGCCACTCTATAAATACCAGATCTGAACTTTGTCCTGTCCTGTGCCATCCTTACAATCTCTGACACTCTCAAGCTCACTGCTGCAGTCACCGTGTCAATCCATCCGGTCCAGGGTCTTCCTCTCCTTCTCAGTCCCTCCGCCTTTCCAAGTACCATGTCTTTCTCCAAGAAACAGCCTCTCCTAGCAACATGCCCACAGGAAGTGAGGTGAAGCTCTGTCATCTCTGCTTCCAAGGAGCACGCCGGCTGTGCCTTCTCCGATACTTATCTGTCCATTCTTCTGGAAGTCCACGGAAGGTTCAGTGCTCTTCCCCAACACAACTCAAAGGCATCAATTCTTCTGTTATCCCTACTCATTGTTCGGCACTCAGATGCATAGCAAGTGATTGAAAAAGACAACGGCCTTTTTCCTGAGTTTCTCCTAAGGGTGATGAACATGTTATGGGAGCAAAACAGCAGTATATCGTGAATAAAATTAATGTTACTGAACTGCCTACTTGAAAACTATTAAAACAGCAACTTTTACTCTCTATATATTTATTATTGTAATAGAAAACAAATACCAGAAAGTAAAACAGGTATTTCATGAAGGTAAAGTTTCTACTACTGGAGTGTCCTAGCCTGGTAAAACAAAAGAGGAAGTAGCTATTCCCAGATAGAATACTAACTAGTTTGTACTGATAGGATGCTCAGGTAGCCTACTGGTAAGAAAACACACTGCAACCTCAAAGGTACAAGGTTTGAATCCACCAGCTGCTCTGTGAAAGAAGGATGGGTAATATCCTACGCAAATTTATTGCCTCTGAAAATCCGCTGGAGGGTCAGCTGAGGTTTGGTTCCAAATGAACGGTAAACAGTAAAATAACAAGTGATAGGCTTCCCAAGCCTGTTTCCTCATCTGTCAAAAGATCACAGAACAGCTCTGGACTTCCCAACAGATATCTCAAGAATTCTTTTGTTTTCTTTTTAATGTATATTAATTCAGGGTTTGTCGGAGCCTGGCAGCATCTTCCTTTCAAGCTCCTAAAATAAAACAAAACAAAACCCCCAAAAGACAAAAATTACAAAAGCAAGGGAGATAGTGGTCATTTTCTCACTCCGGCACTTACGTAAGGTGGCCTCAAAGGGCTACATGGCTGACAGCAGATCAGATTTGCAGACTGCTGATCCAAACTCTGACACCATAGTATTCTCATTACTGACGTTTGAAGTGTAGTCCACATTTCTCCTACACCACTTCCCTTTCTTTTTTTAAGAATTTTTTTTCTTAGTGTGTGTGTGTGTGTATGTGTGTGTACCATCAAGTCAGATCTCATTGGTACAGGAGGAGATTGTCCCTCCTTCTCCAGCAAAACATCTGGTGGATTCAAACTGCCTACCTCTGGAATTGCAGTGCGGCTTCTTGTCACTAGGCCACCAGAGCTCCCCACTTCCCTTTCAAAGCCAGTTCCCCAGGCAAACGCTGGCCCTCCCCCTGGCCTTTCTGGTATATCCCAAAGAAAGCCTGCTCCTGCCATTTAAGGCAACTGGGTTAATGGACCATGATTAGTGTTTTTAAAAATGTTAAAATGGATTAAGAAGAACAAAGGAAAATACAGTGTTTGGATCTGTAGTGAGAATAAATGTACCATGAAGTTCCTACTGCAGTTTTCTACCTACAGAAGAAAGTGGATAAGTGTAGGTCTCTATCATAACTCTCAATCTAATTTTTTTAATTTTATTATTTTTATGCGTGTGTACCATCAAATCGGATTTGATTGGTACAGGAGGAGATTGTCCCTCCTTTTCCAGCATAGCATCTGGTGGATTCTAACCACGCACCTCTGGGACTGCATAATTCTTAATTTAAAAAACAAAACAAAACAAACAACAACAACAACAAACCCTTGTGAAATCCATCATTCTGAGGCTAGGAGACGTCAACTCAGAGGTGAAGGCCACAGTCAGGCATCCCACCTCACATTCTGAAGAAAACACAACAGTTGGCAAAACTCACTCAGAAATCCAAGACCTACTAACCTTACAAAATAGCCCGACTCCGTGGAGTTGCTATGAGTCGTTTATGAGTCACAAACGACTCGAAGGCACATAACAAGCACAGGGGCTCTGGTCTGCGGGGCTATGCTCGCTAAACCCAAAGCCAGGCCTCTCTGGGGCTTAGGGTCCACCAGCTGCACACCAGAAGAAACCAATGTAATCTACTCCCCTGCAATTTCCAGTCTCAGAAAACCCACAGGCAGGGTCAGTTATGTCTGGTTTCAACTCCATGGCAAGACGTTTCCGGGGTTTTTTGTTTTTGTTTTTTACGTTTTGGAAACAGGTACACAATAGACTTGTGACGCTCTTACAGGGAAGCTGTGAGATGTTGTTGGAGTCACTTCTGATCCACAGGGCCCTGATGTACAACCTCACGGCAGGTCCTAAACCAGCTTCGCAATCACTGCTGCATCTGAGCTTCCTAGAACGCACAGCACAGGATGACCAACAAAAGCATCAAAGGAATGACTGTATCTCAGAAAAATGGTCTGCATGCTGAGGGGGATGGAGACTAATGACATGAAACAAAGTCTGTAGATAGAGGCTGTGGAACAGGAAACCAATTTGTTCTGTAAGCTTTCACTCAAACAAACATCAAACCAAGAAGGTTTGAGAGAGAGAAAGGGAGAGGGAGAGAGAGAGAGAGAGAGAGGTACTTGTAAATGAAGAATAAACTTCTCAGACTAAAAAACAGCCTTTTCTTAAAAAAAAAAAAAAAAGGTCTGACTGCCTGAAGCTCTAGCGTGAAGCAGAACATTGCAAGAGATTACTGGAAGCAGGAAGAACTCTTTCCCTCTAGAACACTGACTTCTCCTAGCCTTGGGGAAGCTTCTTTCTTAGCCTGTTGTAGCTTCCTGAACTGGAAAAAATAGAATGATAACAAGAATGCCTGCTTTGTCGGGAGTTATTATATATTCCTGTGTAGCATAAAGCATTAGCACGCTCCCCTCGCAATCAGAAGGTGTGAAGGTTTGACTCCCACCCAAGGCACAAAGGTCTAATGATCCGCTTCTGAACAACAGCTCAAACACTGATCACTCTCTCCTGAGCAGGAATTCTCCATTGCCACCCCCTGGGGCAGCTCTGAGTCTGAAGCAACTGGACAGCAACTCCAAACACTAGTTATGGCTGCAAGGGTGCTACTGCGAGGACTCGTGTGTATTCAAGGCCTTCGGACACCCAGCTCTCCTTTAGTCCACAAAGCCTCCGAACCAAATTCTGAGTGATTGTCAACTTCCATGTGAAAATGAATTACATCTTTGTTTTTACTCACCTCTAAGTGAAACTTTGAGTTTGTTTTAAAAATTACAACCAGCAAACGACAGCAAATGACCGTATCAAGCCCTCGGTATATTTTCATATGCTGTGAGTCATGAGTCGACGGCACCTAACTGCAACAATTAGTCATGCCAATCCTTGGAAACATCATTCCGATCCATCAGTTTTTCTAAGGAATGGCATTATTAACCCAGTCGCTCAATCTTATTATTTCACTTGGGGGGGGGGGGTAATTCCTTGATCAGGAAGGCCCGGTCGCCCCCTCTTCATTCCCTCCCTTTAAATCAAACAGCACACCTCCCAAACTATTTTCCTCGAAGTTTCCAACGCTTGTGGCCGCCCCAAACACCTCCCGGCTGCGAACGCATGTAAAGGTGCTCTCCAAACCCCGATGCAAATGCGCAAGGCTCCCCAAGAGCTGGGGAGTTGGAGGTCTGGAGGCACCTTCTTTCTCCAGCAACAGGCTCCAAGCCCTCGTCTACAAACACTCCAAGGCGGAAACCTAGGCTTTTCCAAGCTCCCGAGAAATGCACTTCTCGGCCACGGGGCCTCAGCGGCTATCCCGCCCCCCAGACTCGTTTATCGGAAGAGGGTGAAGCCCTGCAGCCTACCGCGCGGACTCGGGCTCCCGGCAGAGGAGGCGGCCTGGCCGGCTCGGGATCGCTGCAGCCGCTCGCTGGTCAAGTTCCCCGCCGCGCCCGCCCATCCCGCCTGGCAGGGTTCCGGTGCAGCCCCGCGCCCCGAG